GACAAGTGAATGCTACATCGCAAGTAATTCCTTTTCGTGAACTGGGTAGTTCTTCTCCACAGCCTTAAGCTGGCAAGATTCGAACGCGATCACTAGATCTAGCCCCTCGACGTTTGCTTGCGGCAGTGCACAGCTGATGGCAAAGTCCGAAGCGTAACAGACGACACCAAAAGTACGTTCGGGGTCCGGAAACGTCAGTATTGATGCATAAAGGAGACTATCTTTGACGCTATTAGAAGCCCCCCGATGCTCGGTGTCCCAAAACCATTCCTTATCCTACTTAAAAAGATTAGACAATTATTGTGCCACTGCCACATAATTTGCGCTATATTTGTGCAAGTAGTTGGCGAGGTCAAGTTACTTGCGCAAGTCCTTTTTATTCTTTGGAACCGACCAGTCCACAATGGCCTTGACCTTAGCGGGATCCGCTCGAAGGCCACGTTTCCCAATGAAGCACCTTGAAAAGTGGATTTCTTCCGCGCCAAAGATGCACTTATCGGCATTTGCCACAGCTTATTTGTGCGCATGCACTCGAGTACCGCTCTAAAATAGACGATGTGCTTTTCCTCATCTGTCTTTCCGTGCCCCGCACGACTGCGGACGTAGATGACGTCGAAGTATATCTGTGCATTCGCCCGATTGGGCCCAAACAATTGCACCACAAAACGATTAAATGTTGCTGGCGCACTGAACAGCCCTTGGATATCACCAGCCAATCCCAAAGCATGCTGCCCGGATTACTCACCGCTGTCGGCGGATTATCACTCGCTCTCATGAGCAATTGGTTATAACCATCTACCAAGTCGAGGTCACTTTACTTCGTACAGCCAACCATTTAGTTTTGGAGAACATCATTTCTAGGAATCACCGTCTGTGCCGAAATGGTGGCAGCGATGAGCCTATTGTAAGCGTGAACGAAGCGCCACTTGCCGTTCGGCTTTCGAACACAAAACGTGGGTGTCAAATGGGGAGACTTACTATCAAGCACCATTCCTATGTCGTGCTTCGTACGGAAGAAGGCGTCAATGACGTCACACTCTCCTTAGGCATGGTCCATTGGCGTATTACTCAGAATTTTATTTTCGGAGCCAGGTGGATCTTATTACGCACAACTGGTCCGGAGGTAGGACCGACGGCGGGTCTTTGGAGATGACGTGTTGGAGTTCCATTACCAAATTAAAGTACAGATTTGAGGGATTTTTCAGGATCGACGATCCACTTCGTGTGTTCAGCAAACTCTTAATGTCCTCCAGGACAGCTTCATCCGGAAGCGTCAACCAGTTAATCTCCACGTTCGGTCTTATAATGACCACCTCGGCTAATTTCCTTGCCTTTAAAGAATGCCAAACTCTTCGAAGGACATCTTGTCCAACCCAAAAAGAGCATCCACCGCGGATATAGCCTCAAGGGTGACGTTGCCGTCTTTCTCTCTCGTCATACCGTCGACAAGGGTTTATAGCTGTGCGCTATCGTCTGCTCAGGGTCGACACCCTACGTCCTGCCGATAAATTACGGCTTCGTCGTCTCCTCTCTACAGAATTTTTCCGTCCCCGAGATCAGTGGGAATACGCACTCCGCGTCGGCCAGTGTCCTAACTTCCTGCTCCATCAGAGTCTCGATGTTATTGACAACATCCGAGGAAGAGCTGCTATTTTTTGCACTCTCCGTCCATCACAGAACATGCCACTCCACGCGCATCAGAAGTACCTTGCTCATGACGCGTTGGACCTCGCTCGACCATTCATTTTGGCATGCAGCAACTGCTTTGACAACGTAAGCAGTGCTCAGTGAATTACGTGCCACCCCACGCGCATCTGTGGGGCCTCACCCTCGATGCCTCAGACCTCATCCGACCATGCAACTCTTTGCAAGCAGCAACTACTTCATAACGTGAGCTGTGCTCAGTGTGTTGCGTGCCACTCCACGTTCAGCCCGCGAGCCATGCTCGGGACTTCTGTCCGATACGCATTTGATGTTCAACAACTCGGATACTTCGATAGCCAGCACATTGACCGTCCCGGTCCAGTGCCCGCACCGATAGCGCTTCTGCTTTCGCAACTAGGAGACGTGTACGTAGCGCTTAAGGTCCTCGACCTCCAATCAATCCATGGCTCATGGTGTACCACCCATGGCATAACAAGGAGAATGTAATACCTTGCATCCAAGTCTAAGACTAAGCAGCGTTACACGCTATCGAAGTCAAGAAACTTGACACCGAGGTCCACAGGGACCTTCGGGACCGTGACACGTCTGCCCGTCGCTAAGCGAACAGTGACAATGTTACCCAACCGCGCTTTCAGCGCCTCAGCATACAGCTGACTTCCTTCCATCGTGGAGCGTCGAGCATAATTCTAGCGGGGCTGCCATGGCTCAGGAAACTTCGCTAAGATCACCGGTCCTTCGTTCCTTGCAAGAACCAGTACAAGTGTAGTGGATTGCAATCCGCTACCTCGAAGAGTACCTGAAAAACTTAAGCAAGGTAAATACGCTCGTTCGTTCTAAATTAAAACTGTATTTATCTGTTTTATTTGCGGCAAAGCCGCTTATATGTAGTTTTCCTATTAAATAGTAAAAGCTAATTAATATGCATAACTACTGGCTATCTCGCCACGTAATAGCTTGTTACGGTGTAGCCACACCATTGTGTGATTACTTGTGTAATCCACACTTTTGTACGCTCACACCATCGTGTGTGAACCACCCTTTCATACCAAGGCAGGT